CTACAACTTCTCATAAACAAATGATCAATAGAGTTGACAGTATTTGTTCCGAATTGAGAACAAATTCAGAATTTAGAACAAATTGTTCTGAATGACTCTTGGTTAAGATATTTTCTATTTATTATTGATATATCAATAACCCCTGAGTCATAGCTAATTAAATAACTATAGGTGTTTGATTGAGAGCTGTGGTTTCGCTTTTCAGAAATAAGCAATCAATGAATTTTCACTTGAAACCAGCATGGTGAATCCACTTTTATTTTTCTTACTAAAACCATCTCAATCTTCATGGTTTGATTCTTTATTTTCTTCTTTGTTTCAAGATCATAAATGGAAGCCTGAAGAGCAAAAACCCAAGGATGTGCTTGGACCTCCACTGAGAGGTGATCTCTGACCACTGGATCACTTTTTTCTAGAGGAAAAAAATAGATGGCCAGGCTCTGTGGCTCATGTCTGTAATCCCAGCACTGTGGGGAGGCCCAGGCAGGTAGGTCACTTGAGGTCAGGAGTTTGTGACCAGTCTGGCAAACATAGCGAAACCCTGTCTCTACCAAAAATACAAATAAAATGTAGCTGGGCATTGTGATGGGCACCTATAATTCCAGCTATTTCGGAGGCTGAGGCAGGAGAATCACTTGAGCTCAGGAGTCAGAGCTTGCAGTGAGCCAAGATGGTGCCACTGCACTCCAGCAGCCTGGGCAATACCATAAGACACCATCTCAAAAAAAAAAAATTACAATTAAGGAATTTAATATGGGTCCAATCCTAGATGCAGAAAGTAGAATTTGATGAAAGACCACATTCCTATTTTCATTCTTAAAGTATAATCATAATCGAGTTTGTAATTCCATTTACTAAAAAAATAACAAACTAGGCAAAAATGCCTATAGAAGAGAACACAAGCATTTCTGAATTTCAAATTCAGATTTCATGATTTAGCAAGTAATTCTGATCACATATAAATTTGTCCATGATTTCTGAAACGTGCTCATCTTGCTCTACTGCAAGACACTCCCAGATTTCTTTCTAGGTTCAGGATAAAGTTGCTAATTTTTTAGCCAAGAAACTATGTACTCCTGCCCATGTCTACTCTGCAGTCACTGATGTCCCTGAGACTAAGGTTGTCTCTTTCCTTTTAACCATATGATGCATTTGTAGTTGTGTAGATACAATATATTATTTCATATTCCTCTGGTAATGCTCTCTCTACTTTCTTTTCTTGGAATGATCTCCATCCTCCCAGATTCGTTTTTCTGGGGACCTACACAGGTGTTTTTGAGACTCACCTCAAGTGCCACCTACTGATGTGTAAAACCAACTCTGGAACTCAGGAAAGTCCTTAATGATTTTTTTTTTCTGACAAACATCCTGTCCTTACCCAGTCCCAAAGAAGAGCACATTTCTTCTAATTGGCTATTACTGTACTTAAACATTCTTCCATCAGAGTCCTGCCAATATTGGTATATTTACATCCAAATTTCCTTTGAAAATGTATAAACCTCTCAATGACAGAAACCCAATTTGATTTTTGTATCTTGGGCAAATATCCCAATGTTAGGGACATATTACATACTTAATAAATATCTGTTGAACAAATGCGTAGATTTCCTTTAGCTCAAAGACTTTTTAACTTCTGCTTAAATATATAAAACACACATTAAATCAGTATTGTAACTGATTTAAGAAGGTAAAACAAATGCCAGCATGGATTGCAAAAATCTTAACCTGTGATCACTGAAAGAACTGAATTTTTTTAGGATTAGTTGACACAATTTGTATGGTTTGAAGGATACATGGGATTTAGAAACTAAATATTGTTATCTTGATTCCAGTTATATTTGAAACTGAGTCAACTTGTGCTTTTAGTAGCACAGCTAAGGAGAGTATTGTTATAGTAATTCTATTTTTTACACAAGTACAAACTTCTTTAGTATTTTAACTGAACTGTGTGATGTTTTATGCTGAAGAAGTTATCTAGTCCAATGGTCAGGGAAAAACAGATACTTGGCTAATATATCTTGAATTATTAATGAATAAATGAAAATAGAAGAAATTCAATTTACTTTTCTGATTTTACAGATGATAAAATTGAAGCCCAGTTAGTTGCAGAACAATGACAAGTAATCAAACATCATGGCTCCTGGGTCAATAGCTACTTTTCTGTACATATAATAAATATTATAAAATGTAAGGATTTTAGATAGATAGAACACACAGTCAGGGACACAGAACCTCATTGCAGGATAAGAAACATTAACACTTATGCACACGTATGTTCGTTGCAGCACTGTTTACATTAGCAAAGACCTGGAACCAACCCAAATGCCCATCGATGATAGACTGGACCTGGAAAATGTGGCACATATACACCATGGAATACTATGCAGCCATAAAAAATGATGAGTTTGTGTTCTCTCTAGGGACTTGGATGAACCTGGAAACCATCATTCTCAGCAAACTGACACAAGAACAAAAAGCCAAACACCGCATGTTTGCACTCATAGGTGGGTGCAGAAAAATGAGAACACATGGACATAGGGAGGGGAGCATCACACACTGGGATATGTCGCGGGGGAATAGGGAAGAGACAGAGGCGGGTAGGGAGGTTGGGGAGGAATAACATGGGGAGAAATGCCAGATATAGGTGACAGGGGGATGGAGGCAGCAAACCACATTGCAGTGTATGTACCTATGCAACAATCCTACATGTTCTGTACATGTACCCCAGAACCTGAAATGCAATAAAATACATATATAGAGGAAAAAAAAGAAACACTGATCATAAACCCAATATATACCTTACATTTTACCATGTACTGTGGATACAGACAAGAAATGAATAAGCCAGAGGGCCCCATGAGGTGAGCACAGTCTCACAGAGGAAGTATTTATAGTTCAGTATGATGAATGAAGTGTTAGGGGCACAAATGAGAAAGCAACTCCACCGGAGGTAAGAGAGGGAAGAAGGGAAAGCTACAGGGAAGAGGCAACATTGTATATGCCTCCTGAAGTAGGCATGTTCCAAGCTCAAGAGATGAGGAATGACATTTCAGGCTGAAGACACAATTGCAGCTCATCAGAAGTTACAAATCCGTGTAACAAAGTAGTCCTCTCTGCAATAACAGAACCAAAGATGACATTAGCTGAGGGACACTACTGCTCAAATGAAGAAAAATGACAAGTTGCTTTTCAAGCCATCCCAGAGTGGGAAGCCAATGTGCCAGGAGCTATAAAGAGCCTCAGAAGAATAAGAGAAAAAGAAATGTACCCTTTCCTGTGGCAAGAGCACTGCATCCCAACACACTTTGGCTCTGTCAGATAGATTTTTACATAGGTTATTTTTGTAATTGTTTTGTATATTAATATTTTAATATACATAAAGTATCTTTTTTATTCCAAGGGATTTTTTAAAAAGGTGATTTTAGTGAAGTCAGTACCTTTTGATGTCAAAATGTATGTTTCACTGCAGCCTTAGGTAGAGAAACATCACACTGATGTGGGTTGCTCTCTAGACCTGACAATATCTAATGTTAGAGGAAATTTAAAAATCTTGGGTTAAGTGAGGCCTCAAAGAATCAATATGTGTATTGCCTCTTGGAAAGTAAACTCTTGGATTCCAATCTCGCTGATGCCTCCATCTCTAAAACTCCATCCTTCACTAAAAGTGAGGGTTGCCAAGTGAACTGTCTCAATGAACACTAACGGAGAAAGAGTTCACCTCCCTGCCTCACCCCACCCTGGGGTGTCCTCACAACCATGAGGAAGTACAAGGTCACACAGTGTGAGGGATAGGAGTAAACAGGAAGTTAGGATTAAAACAAAAATTCGAATGGAAATTAGAATAAAGAGAACAGACATGCGAGACATGAAAGAAAATGGGTTAGATTTCTGGAGGAGAGAGAGAGTTGTTTAACAAAACATGCCAGAGATTAGCAAGAGATTGCACAGGTTTTTATTCATCATCATCAGCACGGAGCACTGCACAGTGTTTCAAGCCTCACGAGTAGATTCCCAAAGCATCAGTCAAGAGCCACTACTGTTAGCTATGCAACCATTCAATTCCTCAGGTTTTCGAAGCCTCAATTTCCTCATCTATAAAATGGGGAAAATAGTAGTAACTAACTTAACAGGTTTTTGGCACATTAAATAAGATTATGCACATAAACATTAGCACAGTACACGCCCGCAGAATACAGAATAGACTCTCAATAAGCTCTACAGACCTCATCACCACCATAAAAGAAATTTGAAAAACTCAAACCTGCCTACCAATTTTGTGTAGTACTAGACAATGCAAGGAAAGATTCATCATCTATCTCAGATCAGACATCCCATGAACAGTCATTAAGTAGGTGGATGGGTCTGAATGATCAACTGAACTGCTTTTTCATCATGTGGAAATTGCCTGTAGATAAACAGGGATGACTGTATGCCCCAAAGTGTTTATTACATTTTCTACAAAATGCCAAAGAAAGACATTTTTTTTTCTTAATAAAACATTATAGCCTTGGTCGCTTTGAGTAATCAAAGAAGTGGTTTTGTTTTATCCACTCTACCTTGCTTGATTTAAAAAAAAAAACAAAAAAACTCTACTACACCATTCTTCTTGGGCAAACTCCAGCCAGACAGATATTTGCCATTCCATTATTGTTTTAAAGTGTTAGCCCCAGACACATAAGCATTGTTGGAATGTAATGGAAAAAAAAAAGTTTTAAATCTCAAATGGGGTAATAAACTGCAGCCAGAAGCTAATTGTACTGAAACCTGAGCTTTTATAACATGTTACTACTGAAGTGGGACCACTCAGCACTACTTTGGTGGGGCTGTTGTGTAATTGGTAGTAGATTACGTTGCAGACATTTTTTTTTAAAAAAAGACGTCAAATCAGACATTTCTGCTTATTACTATAAACCTCAGCATAATTCTCACAGCAATCAATGCATTTCATCCATTAAACTATTGATGGGGGGTATTAATTCATATAATGTTTAACTGCTCACTGTGGACTTTCTCTCTGCCAACTTTCTTCCACCCAAGAAGTCCCGAAATGTTGCTGCTCCTGTCAAAAGAAATGAATCATTAATAAGAACCAGCAAGGCCAGTGGCAAGCTAGAAGCTGGGCCGTGATATATACAGGCCTCACATTATTTTAATTGAGTGCTGAACTGTATGTGTAAAAGGAGCAAACAGCCCAGTAGGGTTTCACCAAGAATCTGAAAGCAATACAAGGAAGGGTATATCCATCAAATGTCTTTATTGAATATTTAGGGGATCTGAGAATACTTTTTGTTTGTAGATTACGTATTTGTTGCACAGTCTAGAGTCAACAGGAGCAAGTAAGTAATACTCCAACCAAATTCTGCACCCACAGGAGGCCAGGGAAATAACCACACTCGTGTGCCAAAGTCTTAAAGAAATCAGGTCAAGTCTGGGTGAGAGTAGGCCTAGTCCCAAGAAAGCGTAGTGATAAAAATGGAAGAAGTGCCTCCTCTTTCAAGTCCTCATGTTTGTGCTATGTCTATTTCTTTTTATTGTTATTTTTTTATTTCTCTCTCCTTCTGCTCCTTTTCCGTTGAGACCACCTGCCTTTATGTAACTACATATCTACTTGCATCTACAAAATGAAGAAATGCGGATATTATAAAAGTGACTTATGTGGTCACAAAATCATGAGCGTTGAAGTTAGATTTGAATCTCAAGTCAGAACTGCCACCTCTTCTTAAAATTATCTTACCCCTTGAGTTCAATTTATTACATCATAAAACGAGAATAATACAGATGGTTTTCAATTTTAAAGTGTAACATAAGTTGAAAATATTTCAAGTTGAGAATCCATTTAATATGCCTAACCTACAAAACACCACAAGCCAGCCTAGCCTAGCTTAAATGTGTTTAGAACACTTAAATTAGTCTATAGTTGGGCAACCTCATGTAACACAAAGCCTATTTTATAATAAAGTGTTGAATATCTCATGCATTGCATTGAATACTGTATTGAAAGTGAAAAACAGAATGGTTGTATAGGTACAGAAAGTATAGTTTCTGCTGACTGCAAATTGCATTCACACCATAGTAAAGTCCAAAACTCCTAAGTCAGGGACCATCTGTGCTGACCTCATGATGATCTGATAAAGGATAAAAAGAACAGTATATGAAATTCTGAGTTGAGGTACTGGCACTAAGATGACAGTCAGTGTTGGGTAAGCGATGACTTTGATAATGAAGAAGGAAGTAAACTTTACTTGATCAAATGGGATAATCATTTCAGTGAACTCAAGTCCCTAGGCAGATTTGAGACTGAGATTGCTATCAACATCCTTAAAACTCACTCTGTCCTATATGTGTGTACTTTAGCTACCTGCTGGGCATTTGCCAGACTAATATTTAAAAATGATGGAAGATGGCTGGGCGCAGTGGCTCACGCCTGTAATTCCAGTACTTTGGGAGTCTGAGGTGGGAGGATCATTTGCGGTCAGGAGTTCAAGACCAGTCTGGCCAACATGGTGAAACCCCATCTCCACTAAGAATACCAAAAAAATAGCTGAGCATGATGGTGCATGCCTGTAATCCCAGCTACTTAGGAGACTGTGGTAGGAGAATCACTTGAACCCAGAGATGGAGGTTGCAGTGAGCCAAGATCACATCACTACACTCCAGCCTGGGTGGCAGAGTGAGACTCCATCCCAAATACTACTACTACTACTACTACTAGTAATAATAATAATAATAACAATAATAATAATAAATAGGATGGAAGAAGAAGCCTGGGTGGAAAAGGAGGGGAGTACGCTTAATCTAACATGTAGCTGAGAAAGCCAAGCCCATTTATGAAGCCTGAAAATAACATTTGGAAACCATAAATGCTCAAAATATTTTAATAGGGTCAAAAATATTCTGTCAACCAGGCTAGAACAGTTCCTTCCATCAAATTTTAAATATACTCCACAGTCAAGAAATATTCCGTGGTTAGACAAATGTAGCATTGAGCTTATTACTTTGTATATTTTCTCTGTTTGAAAACATACTTTTTATCCTTATCCTGTAGAATGTTTAGAATTTTATAAAACCAGTCCATAATCTCACCTGATCTTTACTGTGATCTTGCGAGGTCCTTATTATTACTGTCATCACCAATTTACAGCTTAAGCTCAAAGAGAATTAAGCGACTTGCCCCGTTACCACATCACTGGTGTATTGCAGAAACACAACTACAACCATTATCTGCAGCTACTAAGTCCAGAAATATTTCACTAGAGGATGAAAAGTAGGTTTATACCTAACACTGCTGAAGGCCACAGATCAACCTGAGTTGGCGCCCTTTAATCCAAACCTCTTCGGGTAGTATATATTTGCTCTGAAGATGTTTCATATATAAGTGTCTCCTGGCTTTCGAGTATCTTTAGCCTCTAAACTATTTTTAAATAGACATTAATATAACTGATCTTGGAAACCTTATTAAATTAACTTTAGGTAAGTATTGTCTATCACAAGGAAGATTGTACAAGTATTCCAAATATATTGTTATTCATTCATTCATACAAGAATACCTAAAATAAGCCTTTACTACATCCAGAACACCATTCTAGGCTCTATACACACCCAATTTAAAAAAGTAAAAATCAAACAAAAGTCACTGCTCTTTGGAGCTCAAAGTCTAACTTGGGAGAAGATGAAATATATAAATAAGTATTGCATAAAATTTACTTAATGATGTAAAGTTCTATAGAAGAAAACAAAGTGAGAAATGCAATTAGGATTGCTGGAGTGCTACTTTAAATAGGGCTATTTGGGGAAGACCTCACCAATAAGACTGTCTATGACCAGATACCCAGAAAAATAACTAAGCAGAGTGACCCATTAGGAGGCTACTGCAGTATTTTGGGTGAGAGATGATGATGGTTTGGAACAAGGGAGGGGGCAGTTTAGATAGTGAGAAGTGGCAGAATACAAATACATCTGGAAGACAGAGCCAATGGGATTTGTTAACACATTACATGTGGGGTTTGAGAAGAAGGCAGAATATTTGGTCTGAGCTCTGACAGGTGAGTGTGAACTTACTAAGAGGGTGAAGACAGAGATAGGACTAGGTTTGGGAGGCAAAGTCAAGTGTTTAGGATCAGACATACTACATTTTAAGTGTCAATTTGATACCCTATGGAAGAGTCTTATATGCAGGCAGATAATTCTGGAGTTTAAAGAAGAGGTTTTGGCTGGAGATGAAAACGTAGAGAATTATCTGTGTATGCAACAGTTAAAATCATGCCATTTAATGACTTCTAGGGAGTGTGAGTAGATAAAGACAGTGCTTAGAGAAGACACCTGGGATATTCGTACGGTTAGACTGGAGAGAAGCAGAGCAACCAGAAAAAAAAATCTGAGATAAGGGCCAGAAGCCTTTTACTTAAATATGTAGAGTATATTTTTGAATCACAGATAATGAATAGAACTCTTATACTATACCTCTGATCCTTAACTTTATGTATTCTTCCCTATTGGGTCCTTTAAAAACAGTGACGTAATTCCACATTCCCTTATCTCTACTTTTCCTTTTATTAATTAACTGATTGCTTATTTTGAGACAGGGTCTTTCTCTGTCATCCAGGCTGGAGTGCAGTGGTGTGATCTCAGCTCATTGCAACCTCCACCTCTTGGGCTCAAGCAATCCTCCCACCTCAGCCTCCCAAGCAGATGGGACCATAGGTGTACACCACCACAACCAGCCATTTTTTTTATATATTTTTGGTAGACATGAGGTTTTGCCATGTTGTCCAGGCTGGTCTCCAACTCCTGAGCTCAAGGTTGTCCACCCACCTCAGCCTCACCAAGTGCTAAAATTACAGGCATGAGCCACCACACCATGCCTGGCTCTACCTTTCTTAAATGATCTCTCCTTTTGTCTGAAATCTCTTGATACTGTAGTAAGAATTCCTTGAAGGTATGGCATAGATTTTATTGAGCTCTGTCTACTCCCCCCAGGTCCTTCTCAAGGTATTTGCAAGATGCATTCGAGTGTACAATCAACTGCTTAAATTCAGAGATTACATCTGCATTATGACTTTATGAATGCTCCTCCTCACATCAAATGTGAATGGATAAAGCTTGTCTGTTCTTAAAAAACCTAAACCTAAAATTTTCCTAACACCCAGAAATTTCACTGCTAGGAATATACACTAAAGAATTGAATACTGGTTCTCAAAAAATGCTTGTACACAAATGTTCACAGTAGTATTACTCAAAATAACCAAAGGTAGAAGATACCAAAAACACATAATGAGAAAAAGAAGAGTCTCTTCAATAAATGGTGCTGGGAAATTGGGTATCTATATGAAGAAGAATAAGATTAGATTTTCATCTCACACTACACAAAAAACTCAAAACGGTTTAAAGCCTTACAGGTAAGATCTCAAACTATAAAACTACAAGATGAAAACAGGGGAAACACTTCATGACATTGGATACGACCCCAAAAGCACAGGCAACAAAAGCACAAATAGCCAATGGAATTACACAAAACTAAAAAGCTTCTGCACAGCCAAAGAAACAATCAACAGAATTAAGGCACAACCTATGGAAGGGAAGAAAATATTTGCAAACCATGCATCTGATAAAAAGTTAATGTCCAAAACATATGAAGGAACTGAAGCAACTCAAGAAAACAAATAACCTGATTAAAAACTGGGTGAAGAACCTAAGCAGACATTTTTTTTTAAAGAAAACAAATAACTAACAGGCATATAAAAAATACTCAACATCACTAATCATTAGGGAAAGGCAGATTAAAACTACAGTGAGATATCACCTGACACACGTTAGAATGGCTGTTACCAAAAAGACAAATGATAAGAAGTGTTGGTGAGGATGTAGATAAAAGGGAACCTTCGTATCCTGTAGGTAGTAATGTAAATTAGTGCAGCCATTATGGAAAACAGTATGGTGATTTCTCAGTAAATTAAAAACAGAGCTACCATATGATTCAGCAATCCTACTACTGGCTATACATTTAAAATAATGACATCTGTTTGTCAAAGAGGTATCTGCATTCCCATGTTCATTACAGCA